TGTAGGGTGCTTCGTAACATCTACGACCGTCTTATTAGACGGGAAGTTGCAAGATCAATGGATTTTCGAAGAAACATTTGCTGATGGAAATCATGCAGCTGCTGTCTGCAAAGAGGTACAAATGTGCTTCGGATGTTACATTTTCTTTCGAAAAAAAGAACAAAATTAAAATTTTATTTGAATGCACGGAGGGGAGAGCAAATTTTAAAACAGAGAACGCAGTAATCTGCTTAGAACATGTAGAAGGGAAACTTTAATTGTTTTCTCCCTCATTGTTGTACACCACACGTGCGAGAAGGCACAAGAAGACAACTATTTGAGGCCTTAATTCTATGAGATTAATGTTGATGATATCAGAAGGGCATCCATGAGACTATTCTAGCTATATTTCTTTTGTTGCCGATTTTGCTCTCGCGGTTTATCGCGGCGTTCTTACCCTATTAGAAGATAATCGCTTTGGGACTCGGGTGGCTTGTTTTCTTTGAACACCCGTTTTTGATAGGTGCGTGCGTGCGAGGGCTCAGCTTCTAACGGGCAAACAAATCAGCAACCACGGTCGGCTAACAACTAATCGCACACCTGAGATTGACATCAACAATGCGCAAAGTAGAACACTCAAATAGAATTCATTTGGGAGAGCTTGATGAGTTCCGAGTTGAGGAATATTGAGATGAAATCCAAAAATAGAAAATAGCCGATCAGCTGCAGCAAAGTAAACCATCTAACAGTCTGCCAACAAAAACAATCCGATTATATCCGATTTTGTTGCAGAAAGCTTTACCGAGAGGATGCATCTTCAGAAAGGATCCGGATGCGAAAATGTTCTTCTCGAAGGTATCCAAACATTCAGACACTAGTTTTTCCTGGTAATAACTAGGATGAAAATTTTTTGAGGTACCTTTTGAAAGCTTGCTGGAACACGCGGTAGTGCTCAATCCTCTTCCAAATGATGGCCTCGGCGCTTATGAAGACTTCGTAAAGAAACCGCGAAAGACATTCTAAAAAACTCATAACTGTTTTTTTTTCTCCTATA